AAAATAACATTTTTAATTTAATTCCCAAAACAATTCAATTTTAACTTTCACTCGCCGTTTGAAACGCTTATTATGAAACACGACTCCAGAGAAATGGTTATCTATTATATGACATTTAAACTCATTTATGTCCACAAAAAAACGAGTCCACAATCGGAACAGAGAGAAAGAGAGGACATTTCAATCAATTGTTATATATTTTTCTCGCTATAATATATTGCTTTAAATTATTTGAATTTATTTTCAAATCATTTTATTTACTTTAAACAGGATTTTCATACCTATTCCGATAGAGTGTTATATAAGTATACAGTAGTGTTGATAGAGAAATGTCAATACAATTGTGATTCAAATAAAAATGACTTTTTTGTACGTTTCGTTCAAAACAGTCGACGGAATACATGAGAGACTGTTCTTTCGCTTTATTCCTAATTCTATTCACTATTTTTGCACTTCTTTTCCTACCATTACTTCTTCTGTGTATTAATTCAGAGTTTTAGAGATTTTTTTCCAATGGTATGTAAGAATAGGATTTATTATGTCGTCCCTTATTATTCTCGCGGAGATGTTTACTGTATAAAAAACTGTAGTATATTATTATATAATAAATTGCAGCAAAGATAGCGCTCACACTTTCTATGCCAGTGTATAAGTTAATAATAATATAATATCACTTGCGATGCACTCAACAGTTATAGTCGGTTGGAGTGAAGAAATTGTAAACTTTTTTTTTGTAAAATAAGTTACTAACGAAAGAAACGAAAGTCAAATGAGCGAAATGAACAAAAAGCAAAAACTATGTCTAACACACAAAATAATAAGTTATTATTAATAACTATTAGATAATAAAATATTGTTTATTATTAATCTTAAATTGGACAATGATATTCAATGAATTAACATTCAGTACCGGTATATCAATATTGGTATTGCAAAAAGCTATTAAATTTTATTTATCAAGGATTACAATAACTCTTTTGAAATTAAGCTCTAGATTTCAGCTTTGAATAAAAATATTAAACCCATATTTAAGTGCAAAATAATAATAAAAAAGGATTTATTTTTAATAACTTATAGTTTTATAATGAATCAAGACTTTAAATTTTGTATAAATCTAATTAACTAAAAATTGTATCACGATGATGCAAATTGTTGAGTTTATTATGCAAACCAATTTCTATATCAATATACTGCAATACAATAACTATAATGCAATTCCTATATGTAATAAAATTCTGTATATAATAATACACTTCTGTATATAATGCATGAATTGAATGATTTACAATGCAATACATCTGTTGTGTAGTTATTATATAAACATTATATCATTTGGATAAAACACGATTCTTTATCTTTTATATCGGTTATGGTTTAATAAAACTCTTATTGTTTTCATCATTTATTTCTCTCTCCCTTTCATGTGTTATAAAATACTTCATTCAATACAGTCTATACTCAATAGAAACAACACTTTTATTAAGTCTAACAAATATTCTAAACGGCAATAAAGATATTTACAGAATATTAGTATTAAGCGATACATTATATTTATAAAATAGTTTGATTTATAAAGAAATAACATTTTAATAAATATGTACCATATACGGTATTAAGTTTATTTATAGATTTTAATGTTTAGTCAGTAATAAAATTGAAAACTAAAAATTCCAACATAACAATAATGGTAAACATATTTCTTTGGAATTTTTCCTAAATTTCTTTTAAAAATGTTTTATTGATATAAATTCTGTATTATTTTTATAGAATATGAACTCAAAAATATTTGTCTTTATTATAAGTAATGTTATGTTTTTATTTAAAATATCAAACATAAATGCATTCAATTTAAAATGGGATACTGTATTAAAAGAGAGGCTTTTAAATAAAAATTATTACTTTTATTAAAATAGAAAACAATATAAGAAAGCCTTAGACAACAATCTTGAAAGGATAATAATTTTGGGAATTCAAACCATTTTCATTTATATGCCAATCCCTTTATATTAAAAAAGCAACATATTTTCTCAAACCATTGAGTTTTCTTTGCATTGAGTACACTGTATACACAATATTACGGTATATAATGTACTGTATTATATCATACTGTAGTATAGACTGTATTTTCATTTAACGTTTAGTTTATAAGGAATAATGAGATAAAGAAACGAAATAATAAATAGGAGTTTAAGTGTAAACGCGTTGAAAAACACTTGTTTCGAAATTTATAAATAGAAAATATATCCTTAATGTGAATACATGTTATAATTCATGTGACGAGAAATTATTTGTCGCAACACAAAAGAAATTGCTTTAATAAACTGGCTTTTGATTAGAAATTTAAATAAATATTTATTCTCTCATTGAAAATCTCAAACAGATATTCATTCAAACGAAATTAAAAGTCAATATCTACACGAACCTCAATATAGTGAGTATATGTTCGCTATAGTCTATAGATCCACAATTTGTATCAAATTATACACATTATATCATAGGTTTTGCATATAATAATAATATACATGTATATGTGTTACAGAATTTAGTCTATCGGTTAGTGACAATGAGAGCTTACTATCGAAATCGCCGGGAATATCGCCTCGACATAGCGTTTCATCGACGAGTTCCACCGGTTCCGCATCCAAAGACACCACCAATAAGTGAGTGACAAAACAAAAAAAACCAAATGAAATAATATATTAGATTTGATTTCATTGATACGATTGTGTTTCACTGTTTGTCTTTCTTTGTGTATCATTTATCTCTTGTCAATGTTTTAATCAGAAAAAGTGTGAGTTTTGCAAAACTCACAAAATTACTATCGACTCAACCAAAGGACAAATTCTCTAATTTGAAGCCAATTCCGAGCCATCAGTTCTCTAATGATAACACCAGTGATGTGTAAGTCGTTGTATTTTTGGCAGTATTTATAATACATTGTCGTTTTGCAATACATTGTCTTGTATTTCGCAAAACTGCTATTTATTTGCTACAAGTTTTGGTCATTTGTTTTCTTGTGTTCTCAAAAGTTCGTGTTTTTCTTGGAATAACAGAGGAATCGGTAATAAAATGAAAAGGAGTGGAAGTGTTGACAGTCTTATTGACGCACAACAGCAGCACAACAATAGAGAAGACATTAACATATCTATTGCACCATATTTTACACCTAATATACCAAATGCTAACAATAATTACCAAATCAAACGCGACAGAGCTTTGGGCACAGCCTTCGCGCCCCGATTTAGGGGCCATTTGCCCCTCAGCTCGACCTCATCCGTGCAACTCATGGATGGCCAACGAAACCATCACCACATGGACGACATGCCGCCCTCGCCCTCCGCTTCTTATCGTATCACTCGAGCCTTTCCAGGTATACAATAGCCTATCCATCACTTCACTCCACATACAGTCCAATACAACACCATTTTTGGCAATTAATTCATAAAACGTTTATTATATTTCACTTATAATTATAATTATTGGCATTCGTTTATAATATAAGTTTAAATAAATAATTAAACATAAAAATAGATAACAATAGGAATGCAATAATACAAACGTGACTTAAAACAACTGAAAGGCACTGATTTATAGACAAGACATTTAAATTATTTATTAAATTTTTGTTAAATTTCTAAATGATTAATAGATTTCTTAAATGAAATGAGTTTTTCGGAGTTTATTGAAGGAAATTCCTGAACCTCTACTTTGCTATAATTTATCGTATATTTTACGGAATTGTTATAATTATAACGATTTTATTATCATTTAAAACAATTCTCTTTTCAATATCTAAAAATATATTTCACAAAAATATTGTTTTTAAAAACATATGCTTTTTATCAAAAATATTAGCATTTACGGAATTGTTATAATTATAACGATTTTATTATCATTTAAAACAATTCTCTTTTCAATATCTAAAAATATATTTCACAAAAATATTGTTTTTAAAAACATATGCTTTTTATCAAAAATATTAGCATAAATTCAGTCTCAAAATTCAATGTGTTTTTAACAGAAACTCTGCTTTCTGTCAAAAATGCTAACTTTTGAAACATTTTTTCGGAAAATCTCTGCATAATTAGCAACAACTGGACGTTAAATAATTTAATTAAAAATACTTATAATTAATTATAGGCGATAACTATAACCTAAATTAAAACAAATCTATCGCTCGTAAAAAACAGGACTCAATGAGAATTTTATTGTGATTTACATCACATGAAAACACATATTTATGATACCATTACTTAACACAAGTATTTACTTTTTTCAATTTATTACACCATAACTCATAAGTAATGATTTGTTGAGAAGTCTCGCGACGAAAATATTTGTTAAATAATTAATTTTAGCGAATAATAAAAATATATATTTAGATATCTATTTAATTAATTACATATTCATATGCAATAATCTTTACAAAACACCGGAAAAACATTTTTCTAATGATAGTAAACAGAAGGGTTTCGGGGAATAGACAACAAAAATAACCAAATGCTAAAAAGTGAAACACATAACATGTATTGTGATAATGATATTGTTGTTGTAATTTGTTTTAATGATAAACGGATGGTCGAGTGGGTCGACGACAGGCCAGTATCGATGTGTTTATTCCCGAAAGCGTCCCCTTTATGTCGAAGTCCGAGAAGAAAAAGTTTGAGAAATATAACAAATTTAATTTCGATTTACAAGGTATGCATCAATCCATTCATTTCCGACCCGTTTTGCCGCAGGTTTTTTAGTTTTTGTTTTTTTTCGTCGAAAACACTTTTACTGCACTTCTGCTAAACGAAGTGCTTTTAGTACTGGAAGAGTGGATATAAATTGTAAACTCATGTTTTTACCGAGATTTATATATTATATATAGACACACACTTCAAATAAATAGAGTCTAATGTTTTTATATGTTTTTTTGAAATTCTTTAGTGAATTGAAAGATTAGTCAACATTGAATATCAACTTTACCATTACTTTTAAATCAGAATTTTTTAGATAAATATGGGTCTCGTTTTCTGTTTGAATAGTTGTAATAAAAACATATTTTTTCCAGAATTTTATTATCTGTTTTTTAAATAAAAATTAAAATAAAGAAATATATATTGAATTTTAAATCTTTTAAAACCATGTTTTATGTTAAATAAAACATTTCAATACTTTATTCATATTCTAAATCACAGAATAAATAAATTAGTTACAAAATATATCTAATAAAAACTTTAAATTAAGAATAATTGCAAATAAAATAATATTATTTTTTTAATTTTAAAACAAGTAATGTCTGAATCGGGAATAAATTTAATTACAACTAAATATTTATTGTAAACATAATGAATTAATTGAATACACGCTTATATATTAGCCATGTTTTCCGCTGTGGAGAACGAGCAGTTAGAAAGAGCTCGTATGATCATTGACTCAACGAATGTCGATATTAATAGGTATAACAATAACTAAATTATTTAATATTATATTTATAGTAAATATACTTATTTATAACGATATTTATTTCCATTCATTTAACGACACAATAGTTATAATTCTGATGGATTCAGTCCATTGGATATCGCAGTCATGACATTAAACATACCATTAATCAAATTATTGCAAAGTTATGGCAGTAAAGAGAGCACTAACTGTGAGTTATAATCATTGACTCAATTATTTTTTATATGTTTAATATTTTATTTTATTTTTCGGTCGAAATAATAAATTCAAAAAAATATTAACAAACACTTCATGTATTTTGCCATAAAATAAAGTCACCACAAAAGAGAGTCGAGAGAATCAATTGATAAGTTTGCTGAAAGAGGCCGAGAGATGTGTAATGGATCTCAATTTAACGGTTTTCGCTGTCCTCCCCAACGGGGGTCTCAGCGCCGCACTTCTCAAAGTAAATGCCCTCAACTTATTCACTCATTATCCGCCACTTTTATATCATATAATTAAATATAAGCAGATTTTTTGATACAATTTTCACTCACTATCTCTTTACACCTCCAGGAAAAGGAGAGACAGCTATGTCTTTGGGAAAGACGTCTTAAGCTATTGCAGCGAATGAAAGTCGGTTTTGAGCGGTTAGGTATGGCCTATGAGTTTTGTGCTGGCATTTTGTCTGCCAATTATCACTTATACGATCTGATGGTATGATTTTTTCCCCACACAAATCCAATGCAGAGCCGCCAGAATCGCCCACATCTGTACAGTTAGAAGTGGTGGGCATTGATTGTCTCCGATTGCGGTTCAGCGGACCCAATGCTGCCAATGAGAAGAAGTGTATTGTCACCAAATATAAGGGTATTATTGCAATACTTGTTTACTTTCTTTCAATCGCCAATTGTCTTGCGATGTGTTGACCCTTTCATTCAATCTCTAGATATAAAACACAACCATTTATTGTATTAAAAAGATGTAATTCTTTGAATTCATCGTTAAATCAAATATAATTAAAGTTTTTTGTTTGAAATCGATTTTCAATACAGTATTTTCTCAATTAGTTAAGTTTTCGGCAAATATTTGCCTTTATTTAGTCAAACATTTAATATTCTGTTCAATGAGTTCTTTGAGTTACAATACATTTGCGTTTAAATCAAATGGTTTTCTCATGAAGTGAAGGATAGAGAGGATTCAATGCACTCAACAATATTGTATATTAATACCTAATATTTGATATCATCGATGCCTCTCTTGTCATACAATATTTGCACAAATTGGACAATAAATGATCGATAATTAATTGTCTCACAAATAGATAAATTGAATGAAACTCTAAAGCAAACTATTCGCACGAATATTCCGCTTATTATGTGTCCAAAACTTATCAAATAATTCCCAATTGAATAACTAATCGATATTTTTTTGTTAGCCTTTTTGTTGAGAATGTCTTTTGTTAGATAAAACACTTATTTGTAACTTTGTTTTAAGTATAATATTAATAATAGTTTTAGTCTTTTTTAATACTCTCAGATCTTCTGAATAATATATAAGATTTTGTTTTGTACGTTAAGTATGTGTGGGATATCTGTAGGGATTAAAAATATACCAGAGATTAATAAGAGATGAGTCTAATAATACACCGAAAATATAAATTTAGAAATAAATAATTAATTAAATTTTACAAAATCTGAAGACATTTCGCTCAAAATTAATGAAAAAACAAAATAAGAAAATACTAATTGAAAGTAAATCGAGTTATTATTACTGTATTTGTGCGGGAAAATGCTGTGAAATGACATTTGTTTAGAGTTTTGTTCAATCAATCACTTGAAAAGCAAATAAACTTAAACTATGTCTTGAAATATAATAATTATATCGTTTTGAAGATTTGGAAAAGAAATTTTACGACTGAATGAAGTGATCGATTCTGACCTCTATTTTCCATTATATTCTGATTCAGAAGTTAAGCCACAGATTTGTTTTGTTAGTGTTTTCAATCAATATATGATTTTCTCTCTATATTTTTTTCGTTAGTAATTTCTCTGTCGTACAAAAGTTTGTGTCGATTCTGGTATTTAGACATAAATGTCTTACATATTGATTCTTATGATTCTTTACGACTAAATGGAAAACTCTTTTATTGGAAAAATATATTTTGAAGAAATAATAATTTAGTGGAAAAACTGGGTTTCATATGAAAAACAGTACTTTGTTTTACTAATAAAAATTTTTATTTCACAACATAAAAGATATTATTATAAGATTTTTTCCCAATAATTATTATTTGGAGTTTTTGTCAATAATTTATATCAAAGAAGAAATTTCATCTTTAAAAAAGGAGTCACTTTTTATTAATGCCTTCATATTTAACGTCATTTATTATATAATAACTTATACTGTAGTCTTTATGATAGAAAATGAAGGAGAGAGAGAGAGAGAGAGAGAGAGAGAGAGAGGAGAAATTGAGACTTCATGAATTCTTTGCTATGTTTTGTCTTATTCTTGGATATTATGTAATACTATATCGAAGAATAATATTAAATTATTTTGGATTTTTAAGGAATATTTATTTTCACTTTCAATATATAGTCCATAATATACGGGTATATAAGTTATGATATGATTTGAAACCATATTTTCATATTACACTCAATAGACAGTCAATAAAATCCATTGAAAAGGTTAGCTATAATTAAACTCGGTGTAAAGTAAAGGACTTTTATTGAGTAATTCATTGCAATCAAAAGTAATTCTTATGGGATTTTGATAAAACTTTTGATTAACGATACGATATTCACGACTTAAGACTACAGTGGGCTAACTCTACTTTTATATATACATGTATATATTGTATACGTATACTTATATTCTGTATACAGTATTCTTAACTATACTGTATATGTATTAAGTTTGAATGAGAGTCCAATTTAATATTTGATTGATTGTTGAAAGTTTTGCATTAAATTGTTTCCTAAACATCAATCAATTTATATGTTATAATGAATTAACCGAAACGAAACATTAAGCCATAAATTATTCATTTCATTTGGTTTTCAAAACATTGCAATAATTACTGAAATTATAAATATATTTATAAGATTTAACAAAATTTATACACATATAAAGTATATATCAAATAAATAATATATTCTGTTAAATAATTATATGATTGTGTAGTGGAATGGAGTGAAAACAATTTCATCTCAATCGACGGCACGATTGATATCACAGACCTTCAGAAGTTGGAAGCGATTATAACGCGTCTGCAAAACGGCCACAACTACTTCGTGAGAGTGGCGTCAGGCAATTGCAAAGGCTTTTCCGACTACTCTTACCCGTCGCCCAATAGTGCCATCCCTTCCAGTGAGTGCTGTATATGTGTTGTGGTTATTGTTAATGACATTCATCTCTTCTAACATACTATTTGTCAAAACTGTTTCGTTTCATTACTTATAGTATAAGTCTTATACAATAATATTGTTACGATTATTATTAATAATGTTAAACATTATATTTTTTGTGTCGCGTTTTTATGTGCGGCTATATTAAGGCTGGCGTGACGTCGACGACAAGCCTTCACCCAATTTCGACAATCCCTTACAATTGGATCAACTCTTTCAACAGATGATCGATTGTCGGCCAAACACTTTGGCAGAAGTCAAAGGTCTGTCGCCTTATTCTTATAAATATTGGCTCACGATTTGATTGATGGCAAGAGTTTAATGGTCTGTACATATGTTTTGACTTTAAAAAACAGTGATATCAGTGGAGAGCGAGAATCAGTACCAACGCAAGGGTCAGGTCCGCAAAAGTATCAAAAACCTCTTCGGATCGAACCCTAAGTTCCAGAAAGTGATGAAAAGAGGCATTTATTTGGCGTGTCTTCTATACAATGACGACAGAGTCCTCGTAACCAATGATGAAATACTTCCGATCGTCGAAATCGGTACACATTTTTCGTTTACAAACATTTTGTTTATATGTTTATCACTCGTCTTCTTCTTCCTTCTCTGAAATTGTAAATTTTGAACAAAACTTATTTCAAATGATATTTTTTTTTTTCACTCAAACGTCACGCAAATTCATTGAATTGAGTCGAAAAGCACTTTAGATTTTTTTATGTTTAGGGTTTTGCTCACAAATATTGATAATAAATCACGATTTTTTCACTTCTCTTCGTTCAACGAATTTATTTAACGATATCTTATATTGATTACAGATTCTTGATCTTCCATTGTATGAGTGAATGATTTGTTGAACACAACTTATTTTTTTATAAATATTTACAATCTATTCAATTGAAATAAGCGATTGATTAGTTTCGGAGCTGTTATTCTGGCGGCGATACTTCACTCGTGGCTTATTTTTGATGCGATTTTTATA